AAGAAGAAATCGTTAAGTTTGAAGATATAATAGGAAGTGAAGATATATCCAAAGAAATAGTAATATTTTAAAGAACGATAACAACAAATGAATTATTCTCTCTAAAAAGTTTGAACTTAAAAATTGTAAAGAATTTCTTTTAAATAAAATATAAATAACTTTAACCGAAATATTTTCATATTTTCGTAATATTTTTCAATAATATCAAAATAATTATTGTTGTTTTTCTCTTCTTTTCCTTAAAAATTTTCGGAATGTTAAATAAAATTGTTCTCTTCCAAAAATGATGAAAAAGTGAAGAAATTTCAACAAAATAGCAAAATTTGTGAAAACTTGAAAAACTTCAATTTATGCATTATTATGTGAGAGAATGAAAGAAGTTAAATTAAAATGAAAGATTCATTTATGTAATGAAAAGAAAAGAGGAAAAGTGAAAAAGAAAAGATGAAATTCAACGACAACTGTCAATTTTGAGTAATTTTTTTTCTCTTTTCTCTATGATACATACGAAACATTCGAATTTGAAATAATTTTAAAAATGAAAAAAAAAGAAGATTTTAGTTATTTGTAGGAAAATGAGAAGTTGAAAATATTTAGCACTTTTGTTTTAAATCTTTTTATTTTCTTATTTTTTAATTATTGTTTTAGTGTTTCCATTCTTATTTCCCTAAGATAATAATTAGAACGAATATTTTAGTCGAAAAATTATCAGTTAAATCGCGATGATATCCCATAGATATCAATTGATATAATATGATATGAAAATGTGATATAGACTTGAATCATTATTTACTTTAACAAAGATTGATTAATTTTTTTGCTATCATAATTGTAACTATCATTTTATTATTCACTGTAGCATTTATTTCATTTCAAATATCATTTCAAATTATCGTTTCAAATTTCATTGTCAGAAATTTTTTGGAAATATTCATATTGGAGAATTGTAATTATGAAATTTCAGCGAATTTAAGATAGCTTTTATCGTTATTTTTGGACGTTAATTAATGTTTAAATTTTGCTATGAATTCTTTCATTACAAAAGCCTAATTAATTAATTGAAGTTCATACTAAACACCCTTCCATCATAAATAATTAAATTTAAAGATAATTGAGCCTATTTCTTTTCATTTAATTTCCATACATCTGTCAATGATGCAAACCATTTATGACTAATTTGAAGCTAATGTAACAATATTTCATTACATTTCCACTTCTTATTAAATTATCGTAATGTTACTGTAAACAGTCAAGCATATTTTTTTTAAGACAAAAGGTTACTGTAATTAGAGAAATATTCATTATAGTGTATGTATTGACAGATATAATTCTATTTTATAATTTTATAATTAATTGCAAATATAAATTAAATGTTTTGATTTCCACCAAATATTATTTATTTATTTTTATAGTAATTGAAAAAGTTAAAAACAAAAGAAAAAATGGATTAAAAAGCATAATTTGATGATGTTTGATCAACTACTTTCTCGTAGGGAAAAAAAAGAAATTTGCATATTATCGGAAAGAATCGATAATACATATGAAAACAATAAAATTATAAGCAATGATAATAAAACAATGCAAGAACAACAATAATTTATTAGCTGTCACTAAAAATTTTGATTTTACTCATTTTTTGATCAAAAAGAAATTCAAATAGAAATCGATAAAATATTGATGAAATTGATAAAAATTTTATTTTTATATTAATCGATCAAATCGATAAATAACATTACTTGAAAAACGTATCATTTATTTCCTCATATTTTCGGAAATAATAATTGAGAGGAAGCGGGGAGAAAAAGACTGTAGGAGAATGGATTGAGATAATCAATAAATTTATTTATTATATCAATAAATAATAAATGGAAGATAAAAATTAATAATAAAGAAAAAGGTTTATTCGATAAAAATATGTATCGAAGTATCACTTAGTGATATTTATTTTAACAGTTTGAAATTTAATTTAAATTGTCGTCTTTGCATTGAAAGAAATTTCGTAGAAAATAAACCATTCTTTTATATATAATATATTATACTTCCTATTTCCTTCCATTACTATATAATTTAGAGTTTATTGAAGTAAACATATTATATTATATTTAGCTTTACTATTTTAAACCTAAATTGGAATTTTTTATTAACTTAATTATAAAAGTATCCATCCTTTACGGATATTCAATGCTTCAGTGAATCAAACGATCGATGCAAACATGAAAATTTCTGGAAGTGATATATTTCTTGGAGCAAAAACAAATGCGACCAATTCTAGCGAATTAAAAACAATGGAAAAAACATAATTATTTGAATCGTAGAGCGGAGTATACTATATTTATCAATTATTTGTCTTCGATTCGATTAGTGCCTATTTATTGTAGTTTTGAGTAAATTAAATGTGATCGATATTTTAAAAGAATTGTTTTATCCGTATACTGATCTATATTATACATGCATATACAACATATATGTATGATACGATCTTCACATTATCAATAATTATTCCCTGTTGTGATGATATTTACCTTCGTAATAGATTAATATCATTATTTGTTTTTTCTTCATTATCTATCCATATAATGTTTAGACTTATTAACTGAAAAATGCATATTGTAGTATTTGAAATATTAAAATGAATTTATTTAATCAATTTTGATGTAAAATTAAATAATATTTACTAATGTTAAGAATAATTACTAATGTTACTAATTTATTTCAAATATATATCTAAGTAAGCAAATGAAATAATTGTTTTTAATTAATAAACATAAACAATTAGATAATAATAATAGTGATAATAATAATGATAATAGCAATAATAATAATTAGTAATAATAATAATAATAGCAATAATAATAATAATCATAATAACAATAATAATAATAATATAATTGTTTGCTGTTGTCTATTTGGTTAAGTAAATTTTGCTGTTATTATTATTGTTCTATTTCAATAGCTAAATAAATTACACTATTTTGATAATAATTAGTACTTTGTGTTACCATAAAAAGCATAAAAAAGAGAGTAATAAAATATTAGTTATGATAATTAATTAATATAATTAAGAGAATAAAATGTTTTAGAGTTAGAAAGAAGTAAAAAGACAATGATTGCATAAATAAATATTAAAAGTAAATTCATTTTTTTCAAAAAAAAAAACTTTCAAATTCTATTGTCTTATTGATGTCATTTTTATAATTAATTCCTTCCATTCGTTGAAATATTCAACGATTGTGGGAGAAGAAGATATAATAAAAAGGAACATAATGTAAATTATGTAAAAGATTTCTTCGTTTAGAAACTATAACAACTCTTTTCTGATTCTTTCAATTGACAAATTTCAAACGAAATTTTATTCATAATTATTATAATTAATTAACTCATAAATGTAATAAATAATATGTTATTCAATGAACTGTACTGTAAACTAAAGATAATAATAATAATAAATAATATTATTGGAATCTTCTGATCTTTGATAGAATCTTTATCATTTATAACATATAATTAATTATCCATCCATCGGAATTCTTTTTTTTTTGGAATGAGAAAATCAATTTTTAGAAATGAAATGAAAAGAGGAAAAGAAAAGAAGAATGAAATATAAATAGTATAAGGAATGTTGAAATTAATACGATAAGAAATCATTTGTGTGATATGATATGATATGATACAAATAGCTAAAAAAGTTCAAAATTAGCTTTATTTTCTTTTTTTCTTCTTTTAGTCATCTATCATTTCAATTTTACACTAATATCATCAGCCAGTACTTTTTAATAATAATATATTATGCCATACCCATAGTAGTCAAATGATGGAAAATGACTTGATCATATCATATCAACCGAGAATTTTTCCACATTATGCTTATTACCTGTTCAACATTCAATTAGCGAATTAGTAATGTTAATTTAATCTGATAATAATTTAATAAATATTTCACTTGACAAAATGGCAACAAAAACTCTGTTGCTTGTTAATTTGCCAAAACAACTAATAAATGTGAACATTTCAATTAAATTTAACGAGGACCGCACGCGGGGGTTTAGCTCAGTGGTAGAGCGCTCGCTTTGCATGCGAGAGGGCAGGGGTTCGATCCCCCTAACCTCCAGCTTATCAATTTCGAAATTGATCACAAAGAGCTCGCGCGAAGAATCGGGCACTTCTGCCTTCATCTCTCCAACAAAGATGGATCGGTAATCCAAGCAACCGCAGTATAAAAATACTTTCTCCCTTATCGTAAATATTATGTCATGCAAGACTCCAATAATACCATCATGCGGCACCTTTTCAATTTTTCTTCCGCGATCCGCTCTGCATGGACTAAATATTAAATCCTGCGTAAAGCGCATGCCGGCAATGCATATCAAACAACTGCACATGTAACTGACCTCTTACATCAAAATATCTCGTCAAGCTCTATCTCAGGTCAACTTCTCCATGGCAGAAATGTCGGACAAGGTGCAAACTGTAGCCAATGTTGAGAATAGCGCACAAATTCAAATTCATTTAATAAAATCCTTAACACAGAAGAACATGTTTGCAGTAATGTGTGGAAAAGCTAATCAGAAGGAAATGTTGAATGAAATGACATATGTAGAGCAGTATTGATAAATCAATAATAAAACACAAAATGTGCATTATATGTAAGAAAAGTGAAAGTTAAAGTAAAACAGTAGATATTCACAAGAAAACGAGCAATAAACCAATTTCTCAACAGACAACAGATATACTGGCTTGCTTTTGTTAAGTATACACAGATAACGAGAGAGAAATCTTGTAAACAAACAAAACAATTCTCATGAAATTTTTCGAAACAAAAGAAAAACTCGGTTTACCCTAAATACGTTGATCACCGAAAAAAAAATGAATATAATACAGAAAAAAAATATTTCAAAAATTTAACTGAGAACTATTTCCATGAAAGGGACTTAAATTAAAGAAGTGAATGCTTTTAGACACGTATGCATTTTTACCCTAAAGTCCTTCAGTACTGTATCAATTCAGTTTAAAGTATTTGTTGATTTTGATTCCATACAACCACCACAGTGTTTCTCAAAACGCGCAACCAGTGTTCGCACATATTGCGGCAGAACCAGTAATCCTAAAATATTAAATTGTTGGACGCAAAATTATGCAAATATTAACTCATAGGAATTTGCAGATTTGACATAAAGAAGCCAAAAAATAGTAACTTTTTAAAAAATAATTTCATAAACAAAACTTAATGTAAAAGAGTCTTATGTGAAACCGTTGGCCCCAACTAGAGACACGTCTTTATTCAGATATAAGGCAAAAGTCGTACCAACAATTTTGTGATCCTGCGGTGTTCTAACACGGATTATCTGCATCCGCTGTGATCGTTTAATTTCTCGAGCTGACATACCACTGGACAATACTTCTTCAACTATCGGCCAGACCGAGAGTACAGAACCAGAAAGAACAAAGTAAGTTCGAGTCCGTCGTCCAGTTTCGCAATATACACCCATCGATTCATTCCGGCAACGCCCATGAAAATAATTGTGCTGGCAAGTCTTGTTCGAACCTGGAGTTAAGGGAAAAATCTTTAGAAAAAGTTTCAACTAAGTGAAGATGGAAGAAACCTTATATGACCGATAACCAATTCGAAAGCCACTTTCGGCAACATATAGCGCAAAATCCTGACTTCAATATGATACAAATCTACTAGCCTTCAAACAGGTCTTTCCAAACTTGTTCAGTTTCTTCAGGAGTGGCAAGATGAAAACGTTTTGTTAACTCATCGATCGTTTCCAGTTTTGCACTTCGACCTGTGCTTGGTCGAGTTATGCAGAAAAGACGCGCACCCGTATCCAAACGTTTCTTGCCGATGCCATAAACAAGAGCCGCAGTCTTTTTCCCACTATTCCCAACTGATGCCAGATAAAATCCATCCTGAAAATCAAAAAAAATATCAGCTAAATTTTCATGAAAGAAAAAGATAAAATGATTGGCATGATAAAATTACAACTAAAATTGGTATTAATTGATTTTCAAATTGATTTCCAGCGTCTAAGTGATGAAATAAGTTTTATAAATTAAAATGCGCTTAAATTAATCTTGGCTAAGTTAAAAAAGGTATTAAGTTAGAAGTCATTAACGAATGGTAAATATTATCAATATTATTATGTGGTTCCGTGTCATCACTGTATAGTTTTGAAAGCCAGTTAGTCTCTTCAGTATTTACTTTATTAGACTGAGGTATCGCTTTTAATAAAATAGTGGAAAATTATGCGCTAAGATACAACACCTGGTCTTCATGATGATCCTTCCAAATTGCATAAGCATCCTCCCAACTCACACCACGCTCCACGCCAATTTTGTGAATTTCGACGCGGAAAAAACCACTTTCGTAATGTCCCATGAATACACGAGTTTCTAACTTACGTGCTTCATCACCACCCATTCCAAGATCTGAAATATCACTCGAGAATTGAACAATAAAATGCTTAGATATGTGAGCATAATAACTATATTGATAAATCCTTAAATAATCCAATCAAATTCACAGAAAAATATACGCTCACCCATAATACCCATGTCATATGTCCCATCATGTTTCGCCTGAGCAACTAATTCAGCAACGATATCGGAAAAATATTGGAAAAGTGCGTTTTGTGCGTGCACTGGTAAACCAAGAAGACGATTCAGAAACTTTGGTATGGTGGCAGATTCTTTTTCAATTGTATAAACACCATTATCCAGTGACAGTAAACCAACACCCTCCATATAACACTGCATATCTGTAGCATACAAATAGTAAATTTTTGAAAAACATTTCAAGCTTCATCGCTAAAAATTAAAACTAAATCAGATCACTTATATGTTTACATTTTCTGCAAATCGAACTTAACAAAATAAATAAAAATATTACCCGTGATAAAATTTCCAGGCTTGTAATCCTTCGGTGGTAGTATAAGTGGGGGGTCGAGCAATCTAGTAATTGTTCGCAGTAACACATCTAAAGCCGCTCGGCCATATCTCGTGTCCAAATTAAACTGACTTAGATCACGTGATTCTGTTGCGCGCCGATCACCATGCGTTAATGCTCCGAGAGATTCAAGTCGTTTGGCAACAATTGATGCAAATCTATATAAACCACATTCTAATGACTTGTAAATAACAAATTCCAGAAAATTTTCATTTCTCTACAATGACCCCAAAAAGTGCTGAAACAATGAAAAAGCTTAACGTATGCTATGCTGATTTACCTTTTTTCGCCAGCAAGTTCGGATATCAAGAATATATACTCTGGTGCACTAACTTGATTTGAACGATGTGTGCGACCTGAAACAGCAGTTTATTTTTTTTCCTAGTTTTTCGTCTTCCATAATGCAACTGCTTAACCACAAAAAAAAATTACCAAATTGTTGAATAGCTTTGTCAGCAGACCAAGGTAATTCTAAAGTTATATGTACACGACGTCGACGATTTGCGGCTCTTCGGTCTGACTAAAGGTAAATTATTATTATTTTATCTAAGACATTAAATTTCCAATACATAAAAGAGGATTTAATTCAAAAAGCGAAAGAAAAATAGAAGAATAATAAGACTGACCTGCAATGAGATACCGGAAGATGCTGCCTCTGAAATTACAGCAACTAATTTTTCACCCTTCATAAATTTATCTTTTTCGTCCATATTCATCAGTTCAAGTGGTACATCTGCTCCAGCATGTCGAAGTTCATATTCAACATCTCCATCTTCACGACATACGACACGACCTTTACGACCCGTCATCTATAATTATAAATTTTAAATTAATATCTTCAAAAGGTTTTTGCTTTTTATTCAACAAATAACTTCTCCTAATCTGTAATAAGAGCCAAAATGTCTACATATTTTTGAATCAAAGTGAAAATAAACCTCGGCGACATAATCAGGTCCACCCAATTCGTCAATCAGTTGATCAAGTGTATTTGGTGGCAATCGAGGACTCAGACGCTCTACAGCAGCCAACAACTCTGCTTTGATTAGTGAAGTTTCACCAAGCGTAAGATCCTCGTCACTTACCAGATGCGATGAAGACATGAAAACATCGGCAGTACTATGCTGCAAAGAATTTTATTTACATATAATTTTTTCATTAAAATGCTTATTCCTCATCGCATGGTTCGTTATATTATAAACGCATACGGTTAACATGCATGAATGATTAATTTAATCAGCACTATTGATTTCAATTGCGTGTCAAACTCGATAAAAGACACGGTAGATCTCCTTAGAAAATTTTGAATGCCGTACGAATTTAATTCCCTAATTTATCTATTATCCTAATAGTAACACTGGAATAATTAGAGTAAAAATTATTTAGTTTTAAACTGAATTTCAAATCATATCTGTGTTCCCAAAATCAAATCTTACCATCGCAGTAGAAACGATCTTACTGTTTGTTGATTTCTTTTGCTTTTTTCTGAACTTTTTCTTAACTTTCTTCTTCTTCGGTGAATCCGAAATAATTTGTTGCTTTGCTGCCCAAGGATCTTCTAGAAATACGGAATTTATTTTTATTTATCATGTTTTTATTTATCATTTACCTAAAACTTCTAATTTCCCAGAGAAAATTCTTGAAATCAAACCTCTAGTAAAGTCACAGGTAAATGGATTAAATTCTTCCTCATCGCTCCCTTTTTTCTCGTTTTCACTGCCACTTTTTTCTTCAGCTGTTTCCTCACCCGAACTTTTTGCCTCATCTAATAATCTTCGCAACCACGTATCTTCGTCACCTTGGATGGCCCCATTCGATGCTAAATTAAAGAAACAAATAAAGAGATAGGACAAATAATCCAAGAATATAGTTTCAAACTATCGACATCTTCACAGCTGTTGTTACTAACTTGCTTTATATGGATCTATTTTTTCTGTAACTTTTCTAACTATTCCATGTACTAATGGGTATATAAAAACGGTGATTTCACTAATGAATAACGGCCCGACTATTAAACTAACAAAAATAAAAATTGAGGCTAACAAATGATCTAACGGGATAAATTATATCGCTCCTAGCTTCACCTCCCATCCCATCCACTCCACTAATTTAGAAATCTCTCGTTCCAGCCACGTAAACCACTATATTCAGATCCAGTACAATGAATTTTTAGAATACTCGTATTTCAATAAGCTATGCTTTATACAAGCACAGTATACCCAAATATAAAATGATTTAGTGTTCCATGTATTGCATTATTTTTCATCAACGGTAGTAAACATTACAAAGGTTGTAATACTTATACTGTTTCTATAATCTAATGCGTATATTCCGCGCAAGTTTTTCAATTTTTAGGATTATATTTATAGTGAGATCATTACTACGCCGCTTTGTCTCCAATGGCTCGCTACCATTAAATACTAATCGTAATACTGCTTTAAATCAATTAGCAGGAAACGAAAAACAAAACTTACGTTCTCCCTCTTCACTAGATGATTCTTCGTCTTCTTCTGTTGGCTGTGAACTGTCATCCCGTACTGACGATTCAGTGCTATCAGTGTCAGTATGTTCCTCCTCATCTGTTTGTTCTTCCATAACTGAATTTTGCTTTAACCGTTTTGCAGGCAAACCAAAGGTTGATGATACATATCCTAATTTTTCCACTGAAACAAGGAAGAAATATAAGCACATTCTTTGCCGTTTTTATGTTAGAAACATTCAGTGCAAATTTTTATCGTAATTTTTTTTTAATAAGATCGTAATTTTCCAAATGAAAAAACCGTACTATAAACGATTAGTCCATACTTCAGCAAGGTTCATTTGCTTACGCCTAGCAAAGATGAGAAAATTGCTGTTCGTTTTCTCGATCCCAGTGATATGATGTTAGTAATCTATACTATGGCTTATAATCAAATACCGAAACAACGATTTTATTTAATCAGAACGGTGTAAGATAACAATAATAATGGAGGATGTTACTCAGTGGTCGCAAAAAATTTGCATTTTGCAACACATAATACTCTATTATACGCACATTTGCGTTTGGCTGGGCGGTCTAATTCATTGCACATTTTGTCGAAATTGGTATAGACATCCGCCGAAGAATTCGTATTTTCTGTTGGGAAATGTTTCTCTATAAGCCTCGCCAACACCGCTCTAAATTATCGTTCTTCATAAATTTTTCGATTTCATGCGTATAACCGTGTACGGACATTGACATCAGTTTCACTAATTTACCCTTGATTATGTTACGTTCTTTTTTAGTTTTACCAAATTTCTTAATTACAAACTTGGCTGTGGATACGAATTCAGTCAATTCGCCACCCGCATCGTCAAGTGCTTCCAAAGTTTTTGATTCACCAGTAGTTTGTAAACCAATCACAACGCATTTATTAGCTTTTATTGCATCACGCACTATCTTGACACATGATTTCACCTAAACGAATTTCTTTATTCTAATTGCATCTCTCCACTCTAAAAACTTGAAAATGCCATTCAATGCCTGTTTTCCTTAATAATGGAATATTCACTACCGGTAAAGAAAATCGATAGTGAATATCCCGTCATTTATTATTTTGGGAATGATTTTCCCTACAAATCCAAAATATAATGAAAATGTCATAACTTGCCTTTGCACCAATACAGACATATTTGAAAAATCGTTGATGTGCCGCCCAAAACTGTCCCCAAACTAGTTTTACCTGCGTTCGACCGATACAGTGACGAGTAAGAGCTGCCTGTAGGAAATTATTTTTTGATTAATAGAAAATCATATATAAGTTACATTTATAACCAGCACAATTATCCTTCAATTTATTGCTTATAATGTTTTATAGAACTTACACAGCATGGCTTGCAATGTCACTCCTATTTTGCGAATCTTTTCCATCAACTGCTAGTTAAATGAACATGTAATAAAGTATATAAACCTGAAACTGTCTTCGACATTCAAGCCATATTTTAACTGATGCGTCATATACTTCGATAAAATCTGCAGATAACGGTACTTCTTCAACCCGAAAGCTAACACCGCGGAAAGAAAGCTGTCGAGCCAGATAAAGACCACGCTGCTAAAATTCTAGTTCTTTATAAATTCAAAAATTAACCCGAAATCATTCGAAACTAAGATTTTTCACCAATAAAAGAGTAGAAGAATTTAAATGTATTTAAACAGAAACCTTCATGTCCATTGCAACTACTTCCATAGCTCCAACACCTCGTTTTTCTACAGCATTAATAAAATCACTGAATTCTCGAAATGCTTGTCCTTGTCCCCACAAGCCTATGCGTGTCATATATGCCATATTTCGAGGTTCTGAAAATAGTAATTTCATAAAATATCTTAAATTAAATTTGTGGAAAGAATCCATATGTTGCATAAATCGTGAATAGTTTTCGGTGAATTAATCGGTGAATAGTTTTATAAAAAAGTTTGAATTAATGTACAACCATACCTGTTGCACCAGTTGCTGAAGCGTAAACAATTCGGGCATTTGGTAAAGCTTTCTGCAATTCCAGAACACATCGACCTGTTTTTGTTGGTTTTGAACCGGATGTTGGAACCAAATTCTTGGCACGATGGCATTCATCAAGCACGATAACACCGTCGTAATCCTATATCAAGATAATGCAATTAATTCAAACATATAAAAAGTACGAATTCTATCTCATTCAATTTCAAATCGTTAAAGGGGCAGTTACCCGTAATTTCTTCTCCCAGTCTTTCTCCAACAGTTTTACAAGCCTAGTAAAAATGATTTGTTTAAACTTAAGTTTTGCAAATATAAACTACATGAGAAATTTGAGCTTTTTGATTACATTGAGTATAAAAAATTACGGAAATATAATGTCTGCAAATCAAAGAAGAAATGCAACAAAAAAATAAATCATGGTTTATATCAATAAATAACTGGGAGAACATTTAATAGTATCTTGAATTTTCATAGTGAGGTTATTACATGGCCAGTGCAAAAACTATTACTACTAAAAAATGCTTTACATTATATGATCAAATTATGTTTTATAGTTCCCACATCTTTACGCCATAATTATTAGAGTTCGTCTGATAGCACAGTGAAAGGTAAAAAGAAATGCCAAAAAACAGATTATTTCAATTTACGCTATTGAAGGTTAAAAAGAAATATCAGAAACAGAGATTATTTCAGTTTAAGCCATTCCAACTTAACTTATTTTTATGCTTACCTTGAGTCACAACGATAAACGATGAAATTAGAAACTAACCTGACCAAACCACTGAATCAGTTGTTTAAGCCTCGTCCGGTATTTACCTTTCGCTGAACGACATTCACCAATCAGTGATGAATACGTTGCAAAAATACAACCTTTCTTGACGTCATTTTCTTTTCCACCAATTTTGGAGTATTTGAATTTATTTAATGCGTAAACCTAAAAATATCAATGTAGTGCCATATTTTAGTGCAACAAAACAGGGCCATAATATTTATTGATTAATACATCGTATAACATAACATCACAGTTTTAATCAGCGGCTCAGGAAATTAAAGGACAATCCAAGTATGAACCTTGATATTTTTGGCACCGATATCTCTCAAATCACGTTCAGCGTCATATCGTAAATCGGCCGAAACACTGAGCCTATAAAATAGCATTTTTTAAATCAGATGAACCAAAACTTCTCCATTTTCCAACGACATGACTAAGACCATTGCTAAGATCACAAATATCCATCAAAATTTATCGATATGCAGTAATATTTAAAATTAATTAGAAATATAGAGCCAGATTTTCTTCAATCTTTAAAACAGTCGAATTATGATATCGAGACCAAATTGAAAGTATGAACAAATATTGATAATTTATAAATTTTGTCTTCATTCAATTTAGAGAACATTGAGCTTCTAAATAAAAACAAAGAAATTTCACCAAATTGATCGCTTGCGTCCTAAGAGATAATTTTCAAAGATGATGCAAGCAATCGTTCTTCCTTTACCCACACCGGCACCATCACCTGTGAGGTCAAGAAAAGAATTACGTAATGTAATATCTAATGAAGCAAATAAGTGATAAAACATTAATACTGAAAATTATTAAAGCAGAACAATATAATACAGTGGAACAAGCTGCTGAAGACAGTTTACATTAAATATAACAATGCATTCCTTAAAACTAGAAAAACAAATTAAGGATTAGGCAATCATGTCAATTAAAATAACTGAAAGTCTAACCAATCAAATAGCCAACACGTTCATTCGATGGAAGACGCACCTCATGTGCTTGACAAGCATATACTACTGCTTCCAGCTGTACAGCTGAAATCGCGCCCGTATCAATGATCTGAAAAATAAAAGTTTTGGCTGCAGAGAATAAAACGGAAATGACAAGAAATTAAAAATGCTTGAACATTAAAATTCCACTTTTTTCTTCTGAAAAAAAACTTTACGCTTGATTTGAATGCTTAGAAGGATAAGAAAGGAAAGCAGCAGACAGCACAGAAACTCCTTTCGAAAACTGCATGAACATTATGTCTTCCGAATTCAACAGAAAGTAAATTAAACCTCTTCGGGAACAGTCAAATTATAACGTATATCTGGTGGAGCAACACTACTCAACGATGCAGTTTCAATAACACTGTCCGGATGTGATAAGCCCGAACGAAGCTTCGCTGGACGATAATCTGCATATGTTTCTGCATAACCCAAATTCTCTTCCTAAAAGTTACCAGAAAACGATGAATTAACGATATAAACAATTGAGCTATATCTATTACCGAAATTATATGAGGCTTTTTACAAAACTGCATCACTTTATTTCATGTAAAACAAAATCTGACCCTAAGTCATTGCATTTTGTCATCCATTCAGTTTTACTGATGGACACCGATCTTTAGAGTAATTATTCAAGTTGCAGTCATCTAAATTGTTCAATTAACCGTCAGTTTAATTGTTGAAGAATCGATACATCTAATCTTTATCGATGAAAACCTTACAGTAAAAAAATAATTTTATTTTTTACTGTAAAATTTAATGATTTCCTGGTTTTTCTTCAAAAATATGCGACCGAAATGGTTTCATACAAAAACTGACTTTTTATTATGATTTCTGCAGCAAAATTTTACACTAGTTCCAAATTTTCAAAAAAACCCGGTTTTCCAAAAATCCGAAAAGTCCCAAAAAAAACAAAAACTCCGGAAAAAAGTTTGAAGACTGCAAAAAAAAATCATAGTGTCTGAGAAAAATAAAAACTAAACCTCATCATCAATGTCCTGATCATTTTGAGCAATACGATACTGCAAGGCCGCTTCCATCTCTTTTCTTACGGAAGACTTTTTTTCTTTTTGTTCCAATACATGATTCAACAGTTTACGTTCCGTATTGCGTGAATTATCAAATACTTCATCTTTCGATGTCCCACTGCCACCTGTTGCTCTTCCACGATATTCATCGACATGCGCTAGCTTTTGCTCATTTATCCGAATACGACGCAAAACTTCACCTACAGGTAGTCGTGGTTCAACCGAATTTCCAAGCACATGTATTTGACCATTTGCATCTAGTTGTCGTTTTTCATTATTACAATTATTTCCTGATACTTCGCATGAGATTAGCTTCATACCAGCAATGGAACCGGCTAAATGATTTCGAGCCCTCTGTAGATTTGGTATCACACGAGTTGCTATTGAGCCAGGACGAGAACCCTGCACAGTCACTGGAGATTTTCGACGTAAAACTGAATTCCGTATAATCCTAGGTTGAGCGTTTGATGCAGATGTGCTGTTCGATGGTAATGCCGTTGAAGGCAAATACTGATGCCCTGTTTCTTGTAAGACATTCACTGGATCCCTCTCTATGCATCCCGATGGTAGAGCGCTGCTGCAAAAAAAGCGAATGAAAAAAATCGTTCCTGAGTATGCTTCTTGATAATCCAGAATTTAAGTCCCGTTGATGAGTCGTTCTTGAAGAAAACAGAAAAAAGAACTAGGAAATAAATAAAGTCTCCAGTTTGAAGAACAACTTCGAATTTCTATAATTATCTTTTGCATAAAAATAATTACCGCTGCAAAAAGACAGGAGTTGACCGATCTGACCGAAAAACTGGGCGAATTATACGATTACCACGAAGAGCAAATGTCCCGTTGCCGTTTCGACTCAAGACTGTACGTGTTGGTGGAATACGCCGCGGCATAATCTCACAGTTACGTTGACGCACGTAAACCACACCTACATGGAGGAACTAGTGATTCAAATACAAAAGTATAGTGTTACAAATAACTGAGTATAGTGAACAGCAAAATTTCAGCGTTTCATTTTCCTTTCAACTTTAAAATCTAAACCATTTTTGGGACGTTCTTGCATGATTATCACCCGACGTGGTGAGTTCCAAGATGTACCACCCGTGTACGATGCTCCTTCAATAAGTTCAACATCATTGTCATCATTAACTTCATTGACGGCTCGCCGTACTTCACGTGCTACTTTCACTGTCGGCCGCGCCGTTACTGCATTTTTAACTGGCTGAAAAATATCCAACTAGGTATTATCGGGATTTTTTTTACCTTTGAGACAAAAGGGGTCACCGATCCAATTTAAATTTTAGATGATTATTGTAACAGGTGATTACTGATCGATTCAATCTGGAGATTGGATCAGTAATCATCTGTTACAATAATTATCTAAAATTTAACTTGCTCCATTATAAAAAAATCATGCACGTTCCTAAAACAATAAGAAAAATATTTTATCAATTTACCATTACATTGTTTGACTGTAATCGTTGCTGTGTTGATATAGCAGGACGTCGTAAACGGAATACGTTTCCACCATCCAACAATTTGCCAGTATTTTCAGGTTGTGATAAAATCTTCTGCGTAGTGTTGCCGAGACTCAGATCGCTAGATAATTCGGTCGTCTCGACAACTTCAACCAGCTGTTGTCGAATAGGTGTTAGAGGTGCATTTTCTGTGACGTTATTTGAGACATCATCAGCTCGTGGTGCATCCAAACGTAAATTATTTTCAAAGTTGGTATGTGAACACGAAGGAAGGATTACACAACCATCGTTTAACATTTCTACATTTTGCTTCTTATCTTCTGATTCGACTTTTGAAAGCTCCGCCAAAGCATTTGCCTGACCACTAGTATTTACTGGATGAGTTGCTACATCATTTTCCGACGACTTCTCAGCTCCTCTATTAACGACTTCCGGTGCCAACAAAAATTCTTCTAAACCAGCTTCGCATATTGCTGCAGAGAGCAAATCATCCATCCGTATGTGAAATCTATAAATATAATCGAATCTTAAAATCCTTTGCATATACTTGGAATATTTGTTAATGAAGAAAACAATTTTGTACACGAAGCAAGTATTGTAAATATGATATCGAATTAGGCGAAAGAGAATCAACTCTTAATATATCTTAATTACATATAACGCACATGCATTATATCTAATCAACGCTTAACATAGATATCTCGAATCTACCAAACAAGTGAAACGCCATCAATGATAGCGATGCATTAAAACAACAAACATGTCCTAAAAGGTGTCTCTCGCCCTTTCCTGTTTTGCAAGTCTATTTGTCATCGACGTCTAACGTGCGTTATTATATTGTTAATATAATATCCGTTTAACAAAAATAATTCAGCTTAATATGTAACACTTAATATGTAACCTATGCTTAACCTACCTGTGTCAAATGTGTTATTCGTATGTCATTTGTGCTTAACGTTCTACTAAACAATACGTCATGCTGTACTCTCGCTAACAAGTACAATTTCAAAAACATGGAAGATATCCATTCAAAACTGAAACAAAATGTTTGAAAATCACCAAAACACTGAATTTGAAAATTTTTCGAGGCAAAATAAATAAATTTGATATAAAGGGAAATTGGAAATCAAGTTAGAATGAAGCTGATGAACGCAACAACAAATTAACAAATATACTAATGCTTCCTATTTCTTTTTTTCAAAAAAAGCGATATCTATTTCACATCCAAATTTCAATCTAAATTTCATCAAAATGAGTACTATATATCTCTTTCCGCTCCTTTCTACCAATCATTAGACAAAAAAGGTCAATGAAGTTCAAATATGAATGTAAACCAAACTCTAATTTGCGTATTATTTACATAAATTTACGCAATTATGTTATATTTAGACAAAACGCGTTAAAAATTTGTATAATGTGATAAGTCATCTAGTTCTGAAGAACACGTATACACGAATGCTTCGAAACACACACGTACATACTGGATACTAGCAAAACCATTAGGACTGAGGGATAGTTCCCGCATTTCCATCACTGGGAAAGAGTGCAAGAATGAGGAGAGATGCGGGTATGCCAATCGATAATCGTTCGTTCACATGTGCATTTGTGAGCATTCTTTTCTTCATTTAAGGGTTCTTTTGATATGCAAATTACTGTGCAAATCTTCAAACTATCCAAAAGATCAAAACTGTATTCGAAAAAACTTGGCATTTTATACATCTCACTGGATTTTACCTAAATGCAGCCTTCATTTCCCGTGATATTCTTATTTTTCACGGTTACGCCATCGTCATACTTAGCTCCGTAATGGGTTCAATCTTTCAATTCACTCAGCGAGCGTGCCAAAATATGCTATTTATAGAAAAGTACATACTATTTCCCCTTGTCTAGCCAAAAAATGCAAGACTTCGCCCTTAATCGTCGATTTTGTTAATCCTTTGCACTTCTTCAAACCTCTCACATCAATCTGTAGTCGTATAGATACAATGTACATGTAATCTTCATGACTGGAAGTCTGGCCGATCTCTGAGGTTATACTTTTCAACGTAATCTTCATTAATTAATTATCGACCAGCCATCAATTTTACAAAAACCTTTTTTCAACATTGTCTCTCCCACGAATGAAATTTTCGGTAATGAATGATAACCAGTCGAAGAGCCTTTGATTTCGACTTGCTTGTGACCAATTCTTACACTAAAATCCCATTTCCTTCGTTGTTTTTCATCATCTTGAATTGTTGATGGATAACGTGGAAAATTCGGCATGTTCAACTAATCTTCGACCCATTTTCACTCCCTTTCTTTTTAACATCCTTAGCCTTTACATGTCAAATATTTGGTGCACTTTCGAGATTTGCGTGATATCCGGTGTTGTCCACGCATTTCTTTCTTCGGACAAAAAGTGGGAACACATCACCAATTGCATTTTGCAGACCATCATCGCTGCAATTTGGCGATACATACCACCGCTGCAATTAAGCGATAGAAATTGTGCCGCGCCAGAATCAACGTCACACGTTACGACACAGAGGAAGGAGCGCTGCAACAGCCAACCATCATATCCTGCCACAACCGACGAGGCGAGGGAGAAAAGGCGAGTACTCGCTCGGGCGTTCTTTTATATCGGGTTGTCGCGTCCGCTGCAACACTACGCGCCGCCCTTCAACACTACAGGACTGCATTTTGGCTGCTTGCCAAAGCGCAGTAATGCCATGAATTGAAAATTTGAATAGTTATTACTTTCATAGGTATTTTATATCTCTTAACGTGGGTTTTTCGCGTCACGTCATGGTGTCGTCGCTCAACAGAAAAGCATCCATTTCGTTGTGTGTTGGAGTAAGTGTTACTTTTACATTCCTTTAATTAGCTGATAGCCTTTATTGGGGTGCGTTCCTCACTTCGGAAACGTCTACGACTTTCGACATGTATGTGTATGTCTGTCCGCCATTTCGAGGTATCTCATTTCGAATACGAGTATCTGTGCATCTGTCCATTATGTATGTATGTGTGTCTATTCTGTCTATCTGTCCACAACTTCAAATTTGATGGATTTTAGATAGAGACATATGTATTTATCGCTTTGTCTATATGTGTAAGTTCATCTATTTTTTATAATAGATTGTATGTTCGTCTATTTCTATTTTTTATCTATCTCGATTTCTTACCGAATGGATTGGATCGTGCTTGCGTATTTGTCTGTCTCTCTGCCTGTCCATCACTTTTACTCATAATACTTTTCCCGTGATAGTACGAGTTGAAAAGGTCAGAGCGTTCTGCTGGAAGAGGTCAAGCCTATGCATAATGTAGATGAAAAAATTCAGGGAATATCCAGATAGGGAAGTGGTTGCTTACTTCATCATTCATAAAAAATATGCCGATGAGAATTAGGAAAACTGGGGAAAGGAAAGAAAGAATTTATGTAGGATTCAAGCAAGAAAAGTTATATTGATGACTGTTATGGAGCATCTCAGCACCATTTGCGACAGGCCGAACAAATATATAGTCTCGTAGTGTGCGATATAGAATGCCGAAAAATGCTCGGAAATTAAGGCCATATCATTTTGACGTCTCCTGCGTAACTCTTCTTGGCAGTTGATTGTTGTTAGCGGTGTTCATGGATGATGGTCAATAAACAGCAATTAACTTTGTAGAGCAAGGAAAAGTGCATTATTACCGAATTAAAAAATTTTCTGTCAAAATTTTTATTCCAGTTACCGTTTTTTCCTTACAATACATAGCTATCCTATGAAATGTTAAGGTAGCATAGCGACGGAAGGCTCGAGTTTTTCGATGCTTGTTGGTGAAAATTTTTTAATTCGGATATGCGCACATATGTACTTTCTGGCAAAATTTGATAGATACAAGAAGCAAAGAAATGCGGAAAAAATAGAGTTAACCACTTACGCTATCTCCAAGAATCTGGCGTAAAATAGGACGAAGAATTATGATGCAGATTCCCGGATAAGTTCACTAGTGAGGCTGGTCAGAAGCGTCATATATGCTTTTTTCTTAAATTCATTTCCCATTCTGTTGCTGTCATAAAGAAGAACGAAAAGCGACACCACCGCATCCGGTTGTTCACATTGAAATAAATAGCTTCTAATTTTAGCTTCACATTTTTTCTTTTTCTCTTTATATAAAATAACCTAACCTTGAACAAGAAAGTTTCATTCATTTCTTTCTTTACTTCAAGTTTCTCATTCTTCATTCTATTTCATTTCATTTGCAAACGATCCAAAGAAAACCATCGTTCTAGTTCTATCCATTTCCTTACTTTTTCTTTATCCTTACTTTTATGCGATACTTCTTTGTTAACTCTCTAAAAGGAAAGTGCAAATAAAGAATGTATTTTTTCCCTTCTATGCATATAAATTCAATGTTCCGACAATACTACTCCTATATTATCACAACGATCCGTTTGTTAGTACACATTTTTGAAATCAAACCAATTGATATTTCTTTTTTCTTCTCTACAGTGTGCCGAATTTCACTGAATTTCAATGGACTTCAATTGCTTTTGATAAGTCATTTGTGAAATTTTCCCATTAAGTGTTAAGAAAAAAGAAAGGAGAACGCAATGGATAATTACAAAGTAAAAAAAGTGTTGAAGATCTTTTTAATTTAATTACAAAAAAAATGAATTGGTTTGAAAATGTGAACCAATTTCAATTGAATACCGTTGGAAGACTGAAATTTCTGGTTCTAATTGAAATATGCAAATAAATAGCAGCTTTTTTCTCCATCAATTTCAATCTTACCTTTCCATTGTTAGACTAACCTGAAATTTGGAAAACTCAAAAATGAACATTTTTCTATCAATATCACCAACAAGTGATTGAAAAAATTGAGTTATGCACTATTGCAAGACGATCAGAGTAAAATATCGTGAAATCAATCAAACAAGTATCTATAGCCATCTTTTAGGTGATTGCCTTCATAATTAAGTTTAGATATTGGGTTAGGAGTTTTTATGAAATCTTGCAATGCTGCATGCTAGCATCGATCTAATTTTTATAAAGTGAAATGATGCATGCATGGAGTACACAAAAGCCTACGATCATCGTATAGATGATTGGATTATAATTGAGATGCATGGAAGTGAGATTCAATTTCTGCAAACTGAAATGGTGTATACATGGATGTATCATGGAATGCACAAAATATCTATGATTATATAAATAACCGGATCATAATTTTGAAATGTAAGACGTGAAATGCATGTTTGATATGAAATATTATAATGCACATATGCATGCATTGATCGAATACTGCAAATAATTATTCAATTTTAGCAACATAAAATGACGCATGCATGGAATTACAAAATGATCGATTTATGCATGTATTACACACTGAGAAAAAGACATTCGTTACTTCACGATGTTTTGCATGCGATGCTTGCTTTTTCGTATTCAAAATTTGGCTGATACTGCGTCTGTTGCATAGCGTCCTAAGCATAACACGTGAAGTAAAACGCGATATATGAACATAATTCCACGAGATCGCGTGGGTGGCACGTGAAGTTGTCGCACATTTTTTTTGTGCATGTATGTATATGTGTAGACATCAATGGTTCATATCCTCTCATGTGCTTCTTGCATACGTATAAACTATTATGTTAAGCAAATTTTGACGGAACACGTCAGAAGGAATATGCAATATTTTTACGACCAACTGAGCAGGTACGAGTTACTTTTGCCTAATTCATGAGTGAGTGTTTTATAAAATACTTTTTATTCTTAAATATATTAAGCTCCATGTATATCAAAGCGTTGATTCATAAGGAAAATCACTGCACCACAAGTGGTCAATAAATTGTTCTATGCTCATTTATTGATTGGTTTTGAAAAATAACCGTCTAACATATGAACAGATAGATGTGTTTGTAATAATCACTGCTATAAAATATATACTGCTTTTGTCGAGTTTCATAAGTATTCAAACAACGTTTTGTTACTTCACGTATGTGTTACATTGGTGTATTGGGGATTCAGATAAAAAATGAATATGAATAAGTGTTGCGATTTTATAACAATTTGTATAGAATTTGTTTTGCTTTTACAGAATTTCATAAATGCATCCGTCTAACGTTTCCTTGTTTTTTCTTCTTTCTTTTGTGAATCTCTTCGCTTCTCTTTTTTTTAAACATGTTTATTACGTTAGTGATTTGCAGTGAAAGATATTATTTGCTAACATGAGGGACGATTTATTACCAATATATCCAAATTATTCGTAGCAATCAATTCTATATAATTCGATGCCACCGTAAGTAATATTACATGACGTGACGTAACGATGGTTATTACGATACGGCTCACGTACGGTACGGACGAGAAACGTCAGACAATACTGCTGCATCGGTTAGTTTTTCTTCGGCGCCAATTTTTAAATTTTGCCATTTTGTTTTTCTGCCCGTAAAATTGATCTTATGCGGTAAATTTATTGGTGTAGGTATGGTAACCATGCGAAAACAGGACTGAAGTAAACTGTGGTTATTTAAATCAAGCATAAACTTAAAAATTAGTGGCTGATCTTTATTTTGCATGAGTTAGATAAGTTTGACTAAATTGATTTTATCACAATCAAAATATTAAACATTAAATCTTAAGTTTTTCTGAATTTTTGATTATATTGCTAAGCACTGAATGATACTTAAGAAGCTCAGAATGTTGAACACTTAAATCTTTAACTCTCAAATATAAGGATATTTCAACTTGTAGTAATCATAGAATAAGGAGAATTATATTTATCATTTTTAGATTTTGAACATCAAGTTTCAAGAACACATGTAACATTTGTAACTGTTTAGTTATGCTCTGAGAAGTCAAGAACATCTAAGTTTTAGTCTATTAAAAACTGTTTAAATTTGTAAAACTTAAATTTTATCGGTCATTCGTAATTTCATATGATATGCGATGAGAGTGCACAGGAAGATTTCAATTGAGTGAATAAATTTCAAATTGGAAAATGAATTCTCTAGTCGTTTTAATCATTTGTTTTTTGTATACGAACTAATTGGAGAAGTTTATCGCAGTTAAACTTTGAAGTAGCTGATGAATTACCTTTTTCATTACCTCAGAGTTAACAGTTTCATGCTTTTAATTTCTTTTTACTATTGCATTTATTTAACTGTTGGATTAGTAGGCAATTAATTAGAGTTGAAATTGAGAAATTCACTTCCAATCTTTTTTCAATTTACAATGTATACGTACTAATTGCAGAAGTTTACCGCAGTCAGCTTTGTCAGATCGTATGCTTGACAAAATAGTCAGTCGCAAACGTGGAGGTCCTCGAAGTACTAGGAAAAAGACGGCGAGGTCTGTTCCAACAGTTTTGCAGTTACTCTTCATTTATATTTTATGAAATAAATAGCTTCACCCATGTTTTATTGGTCGGACTATTCTTTTTTGAATCTTGATTTAGCCATTGCGCTTGTTGTCTGATTGTTTTTCTTAAACTACTTGTTTTCTTATCAATCCTCTCTGTTTTTCGGTTGTCAAAGAATAAAATACAGTTTGATTGAAATTTTGTAATTAATGCTTTTCAGTGTTTTTTCTTTTGCAGAAAAGAAAAATCTGTTGGAAAAAGAACTGAGAAAGTCGATGGCACTTCCACTCATAAAATCACAGAGTATTTTCCGCTTCGTCGAAGCAGTAGGAAAACCGAAAAACAGCTTGAGGTGAGTTTTTTGGACTTTCTTAAATTCTTGATGTTTAAAAATTTTCATATGTTTCAGGAGAAAATATAGGGTTCCAAGCTGTCTTTAATATCAGAATATTCTTTGAAAATTTATTTATTTTTGAGAAATTAGCACTGCCACAATTGTGTTTTAAATCTTACTTCTGATATTTATAGCAGGAAGGGCGTGATGCAATGGCAAATGCTATTTTGACAGGTAGTAATGAGGAATTCCTAGAGATTTTCGAATGCGAAGAAAAAGGTCGTGGGATTCGTACCTTGCGGAATTTCCAAAAAAATGAATTTGTGGTTGAGTACAAAGGTAAAATTAGAGTGAATATATTATATACTATGGTACAGATTTTGAAGTTCACTTCTACCAGATCAAGATTTACGAATTTTCCAAGACTTGATTGATGATGGGAGTCTTTTACATTCATGACTAGTATCTTAGTTACATATTTTGATCTCATACTTTTAACACTCGTGAGTACTGATCTCATATTCATAATTTGCTAGGTTGTCTTACTTAAAAAATCAAAAGGACGAGATAATAAATTGATTGCGGTGGTGCTAAATATTGTTTATAATCTTTCGTGTGATTCTAGGTGAAATAATAGATCTAAGGCTAGCAAGAATTCGCGAAAGAGAATATGCCAAAGATGATAGCATTGGCTCGTTTATGTATTTTTTCAAATATCAAAATAAGCAATATTGTGTTGATGCTACAGACGAAACACCCTACAAAGGGCGCTTGATAAACCATTCTGTGGTTAGGCCGAATTTGAAAACAAAAGTACGTTAAGTAAATTTATATCGTAAACGCCATGTGCATTAAAACTTCAGTTTAGTATATCACTATCTTCTTGACAATATCTATGAGTCATACTACATGTGCCATTACATTAGCAATGTTACATATAATATAATTATTTGTTGCGACGAATATATGAAATTCATTCATTTATAATAAGAAAATGAAAAGGAATGAAATATTGTTACGTTAAGGTTATCGAATTGAATGGATCGAAACACTTGATATTGATCGCTAAGCGCGATATCGATATTGGTGAAGAATTGTTGTATGATTATGGTGATCGAACACCATGTACTGTTGCAGAAAATCCATGGCTACTAAATTCGTGACGTTTATTCGTTTCTGTATTATTAAGTTCTGAGCTTATCCAGATAATTAGGAAATCGTTTCAGTTTAGGAAATTAATGGCTGTCTGAATTAAATGTCAATTTCATTTCAGAAAAAATTTTCTGATATTTAAGTTATGCCCTGAAATTCATTTTATATGAATTGTTTTCATTGTTTGTTTTTTATCTGAAGGTTGCAATTGTCTTTAACAAGTATCCATCAGAAATGGTGTTTGTACCGGTGTATTTACGATCTCATCAGTTCGCATATTAATAATATGCCTGCTGAATCATGTCATTTATCACATCGAAAATATAATGGTGGTTTACAGAGTCTGGTGATTCATTTGAATTGCATTGGTCTAGAGATTCCATTTCCGGATCATTCTATAACTCAAGTAATGTTAATTGTAAGGCGATTCAGGTAGCAAATGAGCTCATTGTTTTTATATGTTTGTATTTTCATGTGTGATCATATAAAACTTTTATGCCTTCTTCCTCACTCATTATAAGCCGTGCGTTTCTTAGTTTTTTTCACTTATAGACAGCCCATCCAACAGATAGGTTTAAGAAAAAATTGAAAGAAATTCAGCAGCTGATATTATAAGCTTTATCGAGCAGCTAGTTACACGTTCAAGCAAGGCATACCCTGAATCATAATATAAGATGCGTTAATTTTAGTATCAGACAATTTTAAATATCGTGATTTACTACCCACTGATTACTGTTCAAATATTTAAATTCTATGCTGCCACTACAGCCTAAATTACTCTACTTTCGCGTAGTTTTGATCTCGTTTTATTCCACTGATCATCCAGTTATTGTTATTTGTTCCATACTGTTATACTGTTATCGTTATCCATGCTACCTATTTAGTGACGCTTATCAAATTACTGTTTTATTAGTTGGTGATTACTGTGTTTTATTAGTTGGTGTAAGTTTTTGCAATAGGTTTACTTTATTTTATTTGCTTGTTTTGTTGCTACTTATGTGAGCAATTTTTGGCCCTCATAAAAGTTTTATAGATTATCAAAAAAATGTTTGAGCCAGTGCTTTCTGCAAATGAAATTTTTTAGTTAGAATAATGCTTGTGCTTTCAGCTACCGATGAGTTTTGTATTTCGTAACTATGTCATTATGGCGAGGCAGTATATTGTTCTTGTCGGCATACTGACTTAATATTTCTAGATATTTCTTGCGGAACTTGCCAAATTTGATTAACGAACGACTTCTTAGCTATTGATCTAAAATGTATTCGTCTTTTCATATACATATATATATATATTAATAATTTTAAATAATATGTGCTTTATTTTTTGTTTCATTGTTTTACTTGATTGAATGAAAATAAAATTTGGAATTATTGGAGAATCGACTTGTTACATTATTTATGTTACCATTTACGTATGTAGATAACTGTATTATATTCAGTAAATGCTTACGATTTGTTTTTAATTTCATCAGCAGTTCATGTTTAGACATTCATAGAGCTCTAAAAATCTGTTTTAAGTGCTAAAAAAAATTTACGAAATTGAGTTTTAGAGATAGCGGTTCAATTTCATCAATAATGATATAGTGCATCATGAAATAACTGGAGTGAGGTATAACAGCATGCTACTTATTTCTACTTTACCGATAAATTTAGTAATGTTATACGAAACTTCAATGCAATGATGGAAGCAGTTTACGGATTGCCATCAAAGAAACGGTATAAAACTAATGCTGAAGTGAAAGGAACATACACGATCAAAAGTGAAAATTTTGATGCTATCCATGACATCTGTTTTTTTTAATTAAATTTTTATTTTCAGGCTTCTAAACATTAGCCATTTGGCAGTACCAGGGTCTGTCGTAAATAAATTTCGTGTCTAATAATAGTTGCCATTAACTTATATGCTATGCACATAGTTATGCGCAGCAAGCATACGTGACCAGATCAGTATATCTTACATTTTAAATTTGAAACTAATATATCATGTTACTTTTCATTAGATTTGCTTCCTATATTTCATGCTGATCTGTTGACTTTTATTTTTGTTTTCATATATCGGAAGTTTATACTGTTTACGTTGCTTTATGATATGATATCTTGCTTCTGTTCTTTTCCTGTTATATATATGTTATGCGATTTATTTCACATATTACGTTTTATCACGGTAACTAACTTTTTTTTAGATGTTGCGCAGTATTGGTAGATCATTTAATATTTGTGCCGTCTAAGCATCAAATGCTTTTTTATGAATGGTCAGTTCAATTCTTTACGTTGCGGTCATTGGTTTCCATCACAAAAGAGGATGTCAGGTAATTGATAAAACAGTTGTCATTTTTTTAAAAATATTTCGTTTACCGAGATTTTCAATCACGATTTATTAATTCAGAGATTTATGAACTATTAAGTTTAACATATCTTTGACTATCTTTTCCAGATCGAATATTGTTATCCACCTTTATTAAACAATGATGGAGAGCTTCCGGTAGCATGGCAAAATTTGCCATCACTTGCACTTCCTGACGGTGCGCATAACGTCGACCATGGTACTCAAAAAATTTATTTTGTGGTTTTTTTCTTTTTTCATTATGTTTGTTGAACAATAAGCTGATCTTTATCCTTTTTTTTATTATGTTTATTGAACAACAATGCTAAAATATTTATTTTTTAGTTAATTCTACTATTCATTGTTCATAACTTACATTCCATTTCAAGGCAATAGAAAGCTTCGCTTTTTTGAGCTTTTAAAGCTAAACTTTCCATATTTAAAGATTTTTTGAATGTTCTTGATCTGTAATAATAGGTGAAGTAGTCTGTAAAAGATTAATGAGTGAAAATATGATATCTGTTTTGAATATTTTTCGATCGAGTTTTCAACTATATATCATCAATTCTTTCATCAAATCATGAATAATCAACATATGAATAACCAAAATATTCTCCTGTAGAAAGCGTCTTTTACTTTCATATATTGGTTTTTTTATGATTTTAGACGTAATATACTTTCTCTTGCCATCGTTAGATGATCCCAACCGATCAGTCTTTGGAATTTCATGTTATCGTCAAATTTCTGCAAAGGTAACATTTTTTTTATTAATGTTATTGCAGTCATTATCATCGTTTACATCATCACCATTGCAACTAGTGCTATTCTCGTCTCCGTCGAGAAAAAAATCAAACCTATCATGGTTTGCTTTCGTTCTTCCTTTTTCGTTACAAAGGAATTATTTCATTTTTTTTTGAAATCTTCAATCAAGTTCAAAATTCTTACCTTTCAAGGATCTTCTGAATAAATCAACGGATGTCACTCGAAGTAGTGTACAGAAGAGTGTTTGCGTCCTGTCTCGAATACCGCTTTTTGGTGTATTGACGGCTAAATTACAGCTTATCACAAAAGCTTATTTTAACGAAAGAGATTTTGCTAAAGTAAACTTTATAAATCGCGCTTTCATTTATCTTAGATTAAATGTTCTTTAAAAGTTTGACTGCTGGAATAAAATATTGGATTGAAAACTTCGAAAAAGTGTTATGATATTTGTTGTAATTTTATTTGTTAGTTATCGTACCTAGAGGAGAGTTTTAATCATGAACCCATCCATACTTTTTTTGCATTATAGTGCGCAATTTATAGGTTGATGTGCTGTGTCAAATGTATGAAAATCTTTGTGAAATGTTTCCGGATGCTGTAACTGACGAAGAAGCCGCAATTATGGGTATATGTTCGTGCTTTATATAAGATTTAAGGTGTGGCTAAGCAGAGAGTATTCAGAAAATTGACATTTGGATCATTTCGTCGTTAGATTTCTACTTTATATGGCAACTTTTTTAATGGCAAATTATGCAATTTATATGGCAAAGTTGAAGCTACATAAAGGCATTCAAGTCTAAATAAAGGGGGTGTAAGTTAAAATATATATGTTGAAAGCATATATATATATGTAGTTAGCATTCCACAGACATTGACAAAGGAGTAATTTTTATTTTGTTTAATTATTTATACAGTGTTTTCTTGTGTCTAACTCGTATTGTTTTAACCAGCATACCGCCACCCATATAGTTGATGTGTAATATCAAAACGTTCCAAAAATAGTACACATAAAACTGAATATGTATAACCAATATCTTTTCATCATCCTAGCTCAAAAATGGTTTAAATGGAGTTATGAATTAAGAAAAGCAAAGTATTTTTGCAGATATTTCAGTGCAGTCCCTTGTAACAACATTCAGACATCGTGTTTTAATGTTATTCAAATTGTTATTATTAGAAAAAAAGGTAACTTATTCTATTTTAGAAAGATTCCATTTAACATTGAAATCTTTGTCAATCATTTCAGAAGTCACAATAATAATTTAGAAAATTCAGTTAAGAATTTATTTTCTAACCATCTTTGTCCTTCAAAACTTTTATTTTTATTTATTGCTTATATAAGACTAAATATTATTGATCAAATTTTTATCAATGTTCAATTATGAAATTTCTTTTTAATCAGATATGCTATTGTTCAGGTCGTGTTCTATATATCGCCAGTATTTCAATTAAGTCAGCTAATGGTTGCGCTCATCTCACTTTTTCCACGTAATATATTTTTCTACAGCATTCTTTTTTTGGTTTCTGTAGCACTTTTTTTTGGACAATGTTTACAATTTTCATAGCCATTCATATTTTTCGAGAAAATTTTGTGAATTTCGGCTTAAAGAAAGAGTTTCGAAATTTCTCATAAATTTTACATATCCCGCTTTTGCTGAATTGTAGCAAGAGTGATAGTAAATGCAAGAGCAATACGTTGTTTATGATCTGATTCGAACTTGATTGTTTAGCATATATAATGATCGTTCGCTCTCATTTGTCTGTTTGTAATGAACATAACTTTGAATGATCTAAATTTTTTAGATCTGTGCATCTGCTTTCAATTTAGTTCATTTTTTCTTTCTTCAGTCTAGGAGAAAATAAATGATTTAATTCAGGATTGGTTGAAAAAGGTTTATTTCATGCAGCTGCATATAATCCAAGTTCTCTGAAATGTTCGGATGAGATGAGTGTGGATGAAGATGAAATTGGTAAGGTCGGCATGTAATTACCGCTTATAATTTATTTCTAAAACTTATTTATAACGTGAAATTAAATAATGGAGGAGGTATTTGTGTATAACTTTGTGTGGCATAAATTATGTTTTTTGCACATCTGGATTTTTTTATCTCCTTTCTTAAAAACCAAATAGAGTAAGCAAATATAGGCTGATTTCATCTCTTTTATTTGCAAAGTTCGTAGGACTGAGCATTACTTGAATTAATTAGTGGATTTTCAAGTAAACAGATTAGTTTTAATTTCCTTAGATTCAGCATTGATTTCTTTCAATCTGCGCAGACTCAATGTATTTCTAATGTACAAATATTTATGGACTATTTTAACAAAGTGAATATCCAACCTGGCTCAAAGTACTTAATTCTTATTTTCTATTTTAGGATAGCTCCTATAGGACATAAATATTGCTTTTAGTTTTGGAAGCGAGTAAGGATACAATGGGAGACAGAGTTCTAGAATTTGAAGATATGATGATTAATGTAAGTATCGAAAAGAACAAAGTAGGTAGAAACAACCCCGTGGAATTTGTTCACAAAGGTTCTGCCTTTAGTGCGGTTTTGTTACCTAAGTATTTCATTTCATTCAAAATGACATGCTTCATTTTTGTTAAACCGTTATTTTTTATTTTAAGATTTATTGGCATCAGTAACGGATTGCATGCTCGATATGCAGTTGTCAAATGATAGCAGTGTTGAAAGCCGTTCAAATTTGAAGCGGAAGCAAATATTGGCCACCGATTCATACGGTTTCCCATTAAGTATATTCACGAAAGTAATAATTTTACGTGAATACGAATTTTAAAGTTAGAGGTCATAAATTAATCATTAGATTATAATTATGAATTCCCAATTTGGAGATTATGATTGTGGTTTAAAACTTTCTTCTGATTTGTTATCCTTTTTTTGTTTGATTAAAAAACAAACTATTATTATAGGGTTCATTATTCCATCCTTACCTAAGTATCTGCCATTTGGATATGATTCGTTCGGATAAGACACGAGCTTATTGCATCGGTGCAACGAATGCTTTATTTGTTCAACGTCGTGATTTGCTGGATGTTGTAGTTACTGTAAACAGGCTTTTGTTTATTTGAAAAAATATTTTTGCCCTTACTATTGCATTTTAGGACTTAAAATTCCAGTTTATTTCGGAATCATTTCTATTCTTATAGCATCTTCATCAGTGTTATATAAAGGTGAATACAATTAAACTATAGTTCATTTCATATTTCAACGCACTGTATTTAAGCAATCTGCGTATCCCGACCTATGCATAGAGTAATGTGCCAAACTCATTTTGCTGGGTGTTACTAAAGCATAGCAGGCTTATTTTTGCGTCTGTAGATTTAATCACATAATTGTAAGGGGTAGCATAGTTAAGTGGCTTACACAATAGGATATATATCCTAACTAAAATGTTTATTTACGAAAACCATCTGATCGAATTAAAAAAAGCTGAAAGGTTCTGATTCACTCTTTTCATTTGTATAGGCAGGAAATTCAGTAAAAGAAAAATGCTAAATAATGGAACTTATATTATATTAGTTATTTCTTAGCAACATTCGATATAAATTTGCTACGATTTCCTCTGAAAGTGAAAATCGCAAAATCTTTTTCTAAGGTTGATGAAGTTGGCGATGGAAGTATCGATATTGTAGATATTGAGTTAAAACGATCATTGACATTAACAGCTGCAGACTTACGTTTTGTCGACTTTGTGTTAAAAGAAATGGAAGCAAATGCTAAATCACCGAGTATGCTTTTTGGTATTTTCATATTTAAGTCGTTATCATGTTTCAAATTGATCATTTCAATGCTCTTAATACAGACAGATAATGTCACGAAAATATACAGGGTGACTTACGGATTTCTACATTTTTGCATTATATCTGTTATGATATAGTATTGGTACATCATTTAGAGTTTCTATTTGGATGTTTTGTAGCTTTTAGTTTAAAATGCTGCAGGTGAATATGTGAAATTTTGATTGAAACTTAGAAGGAATTAAAATTTCAGGTATTTATGCCCATCACTGGCAAGGCACTTATTGAGAAACTACTGTTAATAAATGAAAGGCAGGATAGGGTATAAGTAAATTAATAAGAGTTAATTAATCATTTTATTTGCTAATGTGTACTTGCATGTCTTAAAAATTTTCTCAAAATACGTTTCAGAGTGTAATTTTATAATTGGTTGCAGGTTGGGAAGGTAGTGATGACTGGATACGGTTGCAGATGCAAGCGTATTTATTATCACTCATAGCTACTGTACGTGCTGATTTGAAAGATTCACTGAATGACTTCAATGAAGCATTCATAGCTGAATGGAAAATGAGCAATAATTATCGTATTTGGTCCTGTGGTGATTTTCCTGATTTGGCATCTACCGTTCCGGGGTTCGTATTCTTGATCTGGGAGCCAGTTTTTTGACAAGTGTCTTAGGTTATGGAAATATAATAATCATGCTTTATCACCACCATAGTTGTTCGCTCATTTTTTGTTATTGCAATAATTTGTCGACATTCACAATAGTCTAAAATGATGGCCGTTGAACTGGGTTTTAAAATTTTTCTCGATAAAAAGGGTACATTCAAAGTTATCCATGCTTGTAGGCATCTATTTGCTGGTGGTCTCGGTATATCGGACGTATTGCTACGTATGGAGCATTCAGTTGGTGGTATGGGAAGTGGTCGTCGTGTAGCATCGGCTGTTGTTAATACCAGTAAATATTTTGCAGGTACAGGTACCAAAATGAAAACGAATATTGCGTCATGGTTAAAGGGAACGAAACAAATAGAATAAAATTTCACTACAGTTGTTTCAATTTGCATATAATTTCATTTGGCTTATCTCAGAGCACTGTAGTTACATGCGAACGAATTCTCTTTGGTTAATACATAACCCGAAAAAAAGAGGCATGATGTAGGACTGACATATCAACTGTTAGGAATTAGTACAGGAGGAAACTCTGATTACGTGAAAATCAAGTGGAAAAGGGAAGGATACTTCTTGTTATGAAATATATTTCAGATTCAGATTCTTTATATAATTTATATATTTCACGTTATCTATAAGCCAAAAACAGATATGTTGCTCTCTGTTCTGTTTTGCCGTATTGCATAGCTTTATTCTTTTTTATGGACTGCGAATAAAGTCAAAAGATTTGATAGCTAGAATCTCTCAGAAACTTATGCATGACTATATTGAATACAACGTCTCAAGACGTCATTCGCGAACAACTGACAGTCCCGATATTTCTAGTAAAAGTACGGCTTTCTATATTAATTACGTTACAACTTGATATCATAACATGAAATTTCCAAATCCTGATGACTTTAAAGTTTCCCTAAATAAAAATTACTGTAGTAAAATTGTCTCACTTTTGATGCCAATGATTATCCCTCAGTCAAGTTTGAATTAACGTCAAGCAGATCATCAGACTTCGGAGGTTTGTGCATTCGTGTTTATACACACCCCTTTAAAGATTTCCTAATTTCTAACGGGTTCAGTTTGTAAGAAGAAGTAATAATCAGTGGTACTCATTTCTGGAAATCCAGAGACAAAATCTTGAAGAGAAATAAGCTTTTTCGGCACTAGCCAAATTTACAAGGAATTGTTCTCGCGTAGTCAAAAATCGGATTGGCAAAGTAAGAATAACTGACTTTCCTAAAAACATTATTTGAAAGAAAAAAGTCTTCACACACAAGATAAATCTAGAGAACAATCGAAACCAACAAAATATGAGACATTGGGCGTACCGTATTTATAAATCATTTCATGATTTATTTACTGAAATACTAGAAAGAGTACAGTTCTAAATGATGAAGGAGCGATTCTTCAGATCTGCTAGTGATTTTGATGATTTTCCAAATGCAGTCTATGATAATTTATGAGATGATTTATAAATCCCAAGTACAGTATCGCCAATGTTTCATATTCTGTTCATTTCGGTTGTCCTCTCCATTTATCTTTAGAAACGAGCATTGTCGGTTTCGTTTGATGGCTTTTTTTGATTAATTAAAAATCGAGTATGTGAAAGACGAAGGATAAATGTTGCCATTTCCAGAAATCTTTCAATTCCTTAACAACATACTATGAAACGTCGTAAATGGTATCAACATTAAGAAAGCTTTGCCCTCTTTCTAACATCACCAACTTTCCTTGAAATATAAAAAACTAAGAAAAGATCATAGTTTTTTAATAATCAGATAGCCACAAATTCTAAACTGTCAACCCTTGCAGCAGTTATTTGCAAAATTATCACAATTATATATATGTGCATAACTTACAACTTCAAGTATGGGAATGAAAAATATATATGCGCAAAGAAAATTTTCATTTTCACTACATAGATAGCCTTGAAGGTTAGGAGTAAGAAGTTATTAGTACGAGAAAGTGTGATCAAATTACACTTGACAAAATAATAAAGCACCATATATGGCATCACAAAGACGATTCAGTGAAATTTTTAAGGAGGACACCACAATAATCCATTCCAATGAAAAATTGGCTGTTTCACGTTGCAAGAATCTAAGCTGTGATAAAACATCACTTAAATCACCGTTCTTTACCAATAAACCGAAATACGTTGCCATTTCCGATACCACTTCAGCTGTTGGGTCTGAAAATAAATGACCACTTACTAAAATGTATAGGTTTGATCGTTTTCCATGACCAATAGGCAATTTTTTGAGCGATTTTAATTACAACATGTGAAGTGAAATGAAGTTCAAATGTTAATATTCAGCAAAATTAAAATAGAGAAATTAGCCCGCTTTACTTTATACATATTTATTTGAAACATCCCGGTGAAAATTTTCTCATTCAATAATCAAAATTTACATTTATACTGCCTCAGTATTCGCAAAAATTCAGCTTTCACATCTTCATCCTCGAAATAATTCCGATAATCTGGATGGATTGTTTCTTTACGATACTAAAAAACGATCAACATCGATTCAAAATAATACATTTCATTGTTTAACTGGTTTTTATCTTCGTTGGTATATCATCTATATGCAGGAAAGGAAAAATGAACGAACAAATTCTTCTTGTAACAAAAAAAATATTTAAACATTTTAATTGGTTCATTTCCGTTGATGGTCTAATTAAATCACTATTAATTTCTGTTGATGATTCAATTAAATTTCTAAGCAATAAGTATCTGGGAAAAATTATTTCAACAGTCCATAAATCAACTTTCTCAATTCAGTTGAACAGCTGCACATGAGCAGAATGTGACAACTTGTTTCTGTGAAAAAGTTCAGCAAACTATCAACAAGAAAAAATATAGCAAACCAGGCCGGGAAGCTAAATGAAATCAGAAATAGTATAAAATCGGAAATACACTATCAAACGGTCAAATTGACAAGGAAAAATCAGTATTAACGGGGTTACTTTGCAAATAAACCTACTTGACAATTTCGTTTGCTTTCTTCAAGTGACTTCTTCAGCGCCAGCTCTAAAGCAATATCTTCCTCACTCTTCATTTTTTTTCCAGTAACATGTTGTTCTCTACTTTTCACAGCAAAAAATTGTGTCAAAGTATTTCTCTTGATGGGTCGATCATCGATCGATACATTTGGTATTTCATTTAAATGTGTCAGTTGAATACCAATCTACGAATATATGGAAAATATTTGCTTCAATTTATACATGCTTCAATTCTCAGCATAAGTCTGTATATCAATGAACTATCATCAGAAAAGATTTCACACAGTTTAGTATATATATTCGAACTTAGTGTCCTTTGTCAAAAAACAAAAAAATTCTCTTTGATCAAAAAAGACATCCTTAGTTGTAGTAATGGTGTTAATAATGAAAGTGTAACAGGATGTATGGCGAGATACACATAAATCTATGGATATGTATGGTCCTTTGAAATTGAGCATATGCAATATGTAATAGATTATGAGTTGTG